TCACCATCAACTTCTATTCTCGTCATGACTACTACCTTCGACAAGATCGTCATCGAAGCTCTCGACACCAAGGAACGTTACCCCGGCTGGCTCATTAAAATCACCGACGTCCTCGACGAACTCCAAGTCCTCGAAATCGCTACTGGCGTCGAAACACGTCCAAACCCCATCATTAAAGCTAAAGGCGAATCGGACGATGCATTCAAAGAACGCCAGAAGACGGAAGACGTCGCAATCCTAAATTGGGACAAGAAGGACAAGAAAGCTTCTCGAGCCATCCGTTTCCGACTGTCCAACACCTTAGTCAAACGTTTCGCCAACGCTCACACCTCATATCAGTTACTACAAGAAATTGCCGGCTACTTTAAGCCCCATGGCGCCTTAGGACCCGTAATGGTCAAAAGGAACATGGCCCAACTACACTACTCGGACGGCGACGACATGCAGAAACATATCAACAAACTACAAGAATACTCCTTCGAACTCAATTCTCTCGGACACGACCTACCCGATGAGGAATTCAATTCCACACTTCTCTTATCTTTACCGGAGTCCTGGGACCCCGTTGTCTCCGGGCTCGACGATTCAGATCTTGGCAGACCTTCTAAATTAATTCGTCGTTTACTTGCCGAGGCTGAACGACGTGCACACAGATCCGGCAACTCCTCCTCATCTGCCCAAGCCTTCCAAACTCACTCCAACAACAATTCACGCCGACCAAAGCGTAAGGCCGGCAACCCCAACGTCATCTGCCACCACTGCGGCATCAAAGGCCATTATTCCAAACACTGTCTCAAACGGCAACGAGGAGACCCTCAGACCGAAGCCGGCAAAGCAGCTAGGAACCAATCACACAATTCACGCGCCAATGTCACTACTTCTCAATCGACCCCCGACTATGGATTTGCCGTCATCTCCGAGACCGATGAAGACACCGTTGCAGTTGCCCGCACTGCTACTTCCGTCCCTTGGCTTGCTGACACGGGTGCTACTCGCCATTTCTGCACTGATCGATCTCTATTCAGATCTTTCACACCCGCCAACGAAACTGTCTGCGGCTATACCGGAAAATCAACCATTAAGGGACACGGCACTGTATGCATCACCTTACGACACGAGAACGGCAAACACCATCAGATCGAACTTCGAAACACAGCTTACGTTCCTACTGCCAAATTTAATTTGATCTTGCTCACTCGCCTTGCAGATGCCGGAGGTTCCCACATGTCGAAAGGAAAAGAACTTTGAATGTTCAAATCCAACAGAACTCTAATGGGACACGGCATCATGATCAACCATCTCTATCACGTCCAGATCATGGATTCCAACTATTCCTCCACTGCTCTCGTTACCAACTCCGGCATCTCCCGTTCGATGCGTGAATGGCACAACTCCCTCGCACACATCAATGAGCAAGCGCTCAAGAAACTTACTTCCCTCGACCTTATCAAAATCTCCGACCCAGGCACATCACTCCCTCTCACCAGCTGCACCGCGTGTATCACAGCAAAACAACACCACACCCCCCTTCCCAAAGAGTCCACATCTGATCACTCCACCATCCAACCTGGTAATCTCGCATGTGTTGACATCTGGGGTCCTGCCCGCACAACCGCTTTCGGTGGGTATAGTTATTCACTCAAAATCATAGATCACGCGACACGCTGGGACGCATCAGAACCACTCAAATCAAAGAGTGATGCCCGACTCTGTGTACGGCAGTACAAGTCCTGGATGGAGAACGCCTCGGGGAACAAGTTGAAGACCATTCGCATCGACAATGCCAAAGAACTAGCAGAATCAGGAGAATTCAAGAAATGGGTGAAGGACCACGGTATAACTCTCCAAACCACTGCCCCATACACTTCTGAGCAGAATGGTATTGCTGAACGAGCTCACAGAACCACTCTCGAGGCCGCACGCGCGATGATGAACCACGCTTCACTCCCACCTGTGTACTGGAATCTCGCCGTAACTTACGCCAACTACATTCGCAACCGCGCGCCTACGAGAGCACTCAATGGTTCTACTCCCTTTCGAGCACTCTACAAACGTGATCCCGACTACTCCACCATTCACCCATTTGGTTCTCCCTGCTACGTCCTGAAGGAGCCCGCCTCATCCATTGATAAGACACGTGCCAAATCTAACTCAGCCGTTTTTGTCGGACTTTCTGACAACACGAAATCTTATCTTTACATGCTCCCCGGCGGCCAGAAGGCACAATCCTCTCGTGATGTCATTTTCCCCACGGTCCCTGATGAACCTACACTCGTTCCAGGACCTAAGGGGGAGAGAGATACATCTGATCTAGATCCTTCCACTCAAACTCCACCACCTTCTACGCCTGCCGCGGCTCCTCGGATTCCATCTCCCACTCCAACTCCTTCCACTTCCAAGATCTCATCTACCACTCATTTTACTATGCCCTATGCCTCTATCTCTATTCCGTCTTCTGTACTTACAGATTAGATATCTGGACTCCGTAGTTCACTCTACAGTATATAAGTTCTCTCTCTCGTCCTGTATAATCATCATTCTACTTTCTCTCTTCTACGTTGAGCCCTAGCTCCGACTTACTCTTCACTACTCGTCAACTCCGCTCTTCCGGTAAACTCGATACTCTTCACCGTTACTCGCGACTGGGACTTTACACATCGCAAGACAAACGTACTGATAGAGGTAAGCACTGGGATCGAGAACCAGTGATGCTTCATTTCTGCCAGTCCCTTCACGTTTGTAAACTGCAAACCAAACTTGCTGAACGCATCGTTGGTTATGAGGATTGTTTGCACAATCTCCGTTATGAGTACGCCATAGGCAAGTGCCTTCAAAGTCCACCGGTCTCGTGAAAATGCCAGATAGTACAGGACTGAGTTATGGTAGGTTAGTGAGTGCCTAACCACGAAGAGGGACCTGTGAAGCGGAACACCTACAAACTTGAACACAGAGAACACCAAATAGGCCCCAGTTCAGGCAGTATATGAGGATCTTTGAAATATATCTGGAGGTCAGCGCGGGGAAGCACGCCGAAAGGTCAGCGCAACTGTCTTACATACGGCCCCGCCCTGCGGTCTCACGTTAGTCACAGTTGCGCAAATGAAAGGACAGAGGTAGACCTACACAGCACCGATTGGGACCGAATGGTCTGTTTGCTCTGGCATTTCGTGCAAATATCCGAGGGGCTTGGTATACTAGAATGCTGAAGGTCAACCTTTTATGAGAGCCAGTTGATAGATGGCATACAAGGCAGGTGGTGGCAGCCGATTAGGCCATCTCGCAAGCTTTGATGATCTTCTGATTATCATCGCGGTAAGGAGAAAACAGAGGGCCGGTTGATAGATGGCGGGCAACGCGGGTGACGGCACCCGATTAGGCCATCTTGCAGCTTTGATGATCTCTTGATTATTCTCGTGGTAAGGAGAAAACAGCCAGGAGAAAACAGCCGTTACATCGCACCGTGGGCGAGGAAAGTCCAAAGAGAGCGGTACCCTACTGTACCATGTCGAGTTGTCGGTCAGGGGGTGTGACCTGTGATCAAAATATCCACTTTTTGGTTTCGACAGGAAGGTCGGTCCGGTGTGACCGACCGAAAAATTTTATGAATTTCACCCTTTTCATAGCATTTTTAAACCAAATTGTGACCTGAGCCACCGAAACTTTTCGACACTTGAGCCTGAGACGCATGGCAGGGCGTGACATTTCAACAAAAGTGGGACCCCTGTGACGCATGACCTGACGAACAACTCGAAATGGTACAGTAGACCAACAGTCCGAGTACAATGAAAAACCGGTGCCCACCAGACCTTGACTTCCTGATCTCTATAGCTGTTCAATGCCCAGGAGACCCAATTGAAATAATAAGAAAGTGAATCCACAACAATATGGTTCCAAGATAGATCAATAGAACTAAAACCTACCTGAAGTGTGGAGCACTCTCCACCACAGGTCAACCTCTTTAACTACACAAAGATCTGAGGATGATGTTTTGAGCACTACATATCATGTCTGGAATGAATACGACCACGAGTCGTCCCTCGTAGCCACGATCCTACAAAAAACGGGTCTTCTGGGTGAGGTAATGCGAGCCTCAGGAGGTAATGGACAAGGAGAAACAACAAGTCGTTGATTAGGTTGACAATGACAAAAAAAATTCCGAAAGCAGGTTTGTAAGTTGCGACCTATGATCTGACGACCACGCTGCAGGCCACATTGAGGCAACCCGAGGGCTCCAATCATTGTTTACTGAGGACCTGTCTCTCCTGTGTCATCGAGATCAATTGAGAATACCACCGGAATCCAGATTCTCATTGCCAAGGAGGTATCATCCCGCACGAACGAATAGGGGTCACATTTGATTCTAGACGGCTTGGACAACACGGCCATGGCCGTGAAATGACGTTGGGTTCCACAGGCCCCACAGGCCGGGAAAGCCCGATTTCTCAGCCATGGCCGAAGAATCAACCAATCACGGCCAAAGTGGGGCTTTTTGGGGCTTTTTGGTGGGGCAACTGACTGCACAACAGGAATTTCGGTCATGGCCGTGTTGCCCAAGTTGTCTACTCTTAGAAACAAGGCCATATCCAAAACCGCACGGGAGAAAATGAGCTCAAGCTGTACTGATGAACACTTAATCCACATAATATTAGTTTGATGGCATACTTAGTTTATTATCGCATGTGTCCAACATACGTTGGGCCGACTGTTGGTTGCACAGAAGGTCCTCAGTTCGAGCCTGGGTCGAATCATTTCTTCAGGGCGTCGCTTATTCTTTGCTGCTCCCCCTGTACTTGTATATTAAAAGTTCTGGATTTCGGCGTCTACTTCAGTTTGAAACTGTCGTTGTGGCCCTCAGAACCACATCGTGACTCTAATACGCATATCTCCCGAACAGTATTGCAGGAATACAGAACGACGTGGCCGAGACTCACGAGTGGTCCGAGATTCAGACTGATGCATACAACTGGATATACAGTCTACACTTACCATCAAATACCATGTCCGTTATGATGTAGTGGCTAACATTATCGCCTCTCGTGAAATTTCCCTGCCATGAGCGCGATAGCCCAGGGTTTCGATTCCGTGTAACGGAGCTGTGGTGTAGATGTCTATAACTGCTTATTCTTTTCGTGTTCGCAGATACCCTCCTGTTAGTTCTGTGCTCTACCCCCCAGAAGTCGGGTCCTCAAGAGGTCCTATCTCCACTGAAGCTCAAACAGAACACGTTTCAATTTCCAGTGGTCGATAATCTGAATACGGGCGAGTAGCGAGATGGAAACATGAAGGTCAGTCCCCGGAAACGGAGGCAAGCAGAACCTAGGTGCCATTACACTGTCCAGTCCTTCAAACTAATGGCAACGCAGCGAGACTCGATGGTGGTGACGACGGCGAAAGGTCCAGATGGCCGAGGAATACCATAGGAGGGCTCGAGAGCAGGAAACGAAGGGATCCTCTGGCCTATGAACAACACGAAAGAAATGGTGAATATCATCGACTGTAATCACCGATCAAGAACTGAGCTTACGAAGGAGAATGTGTTGAAAGCATGAATTTGTCTCCTCTAACCCCTTCCGCTTGCTCGCCGTCCTTGACCTTGGAGCTAGAAGCATCAAGAACACGAGCAGAGTCGAGAATGTAATAACAAGAGGTGAGAGGCATAGTACCAATTCCAAAGTCCGGCGTCATTGCCGATCTGACTTTCACTTCGATCTCCAGTTAGCCCGGACTTGGGCGCTCTTCAGAAATGATCGATTCGCCGGCTTTAGGCCGAACACTATGCATCAAGTCAAAATTGAGAACAAAATGGATGGAGGGCAATTAGAGAGCCACCGATGCCTACTAAGAGTAGGTCCGAGGCCGGGAAGGGATCCCCAGGAAGACCATTGACACGCTTCACATTTACGCGAACACCGACTGGAGAGGCTTCGACGAGGCGGATGAACCAGATGGAATAGCTGAGTGGACTTGGAATCCTCAGGGTTCACTGCATGCTGCTATACCCGTGGGATCTTCGGTATGTAGTGGCTAACAGTATCGCCTCTCATAGGAGCTTGTAGGTAGAGCGCAATAGCCCAGGGTTCAATTCCCTGTGATGGAATAAGCGGAACATGTTTTTTTTTTCAACGGTGATGTACTGATCTTTTTTGAAGCCTCGCCATGTGCGAGGCTTGCAAACGAGTCCAAATGCCTCGAAAGCGTCCATTCAGTACCAATCAGATTGATCCTCGTCTTGACCTTGCGCCATCGAATGGTAGAGAATAAGGATACAACCGGACCCCCCAAACTGAGCGGGAGCTTCGTGAAGCTCGTCACGAAGACAATTTCACAGCGCCTGGAGCCTCAGTAATCATCCTATGTGTCTATGAGCTGTAGCCATCCACTGGCGTGTGTTAAGAATTTTGTATTGCCACAAAAGAATCGTCGGAGCGATGGCTAGGATGTACGTACAGGAACAGCCATCTGATAGGCGATTCACAGTCGGGTTGGCAACGCAAACAAAATGCAGAAGAGGAATGAATTTTAACCTAACTGCAAGCACTATTTCTTCCTACCAACTTGGTTGTTTATGCCTTATTTGTCCTGTTAACACTCCACAACTGTGAAGTCCACCCATACACTCTATTCCTGACCTATTTCGGGGGCTACATTGCCGGTCAGTTAAGCCTCACAACTGGCCCACCGTATTAAATTCAACAGTTTCAGTGAAATAGGATACCCAAGATGTGGTGGGGGACAATTGCCCTAGGGACACGAGGGGTAGAAGTAATGCGAAGAGAGCGAGTGGAGGAAATGGCCCCATTGAGAGTGAATCGGACCGGTCAACATTCTCGTCGTCGATTGTTCAACTGCGAGCAGGCTCCTTTATACTCCCTCGGTCCTGCCAGCTCAGATGTAAAAGTGCGTAGCAACAGTAGCCCGATCATAAATCAATCGTGAAAGAACATAGCCAGTATGGTTAAGACTGCATTCATCGACAAAAATCGACAGGTTTTGGGATGCCACTAGTATGGAGGGGCCCATACATGGGTCAAAGCCGCTTGGCAAAATCACTACCGTGATATTCAGCGCACATCATCTCCCGCCTGCATGGAGATGTTTCAAAATGGTCAATGTCATGTTTCCAGCTCAGCGGATTCTATGCTTTGCAGCTCACATCGATCAATAAAAAATTGATATAGCCACCTTCCTCGACTTGCGGTTGTCAGTCGGAGTTCCAGGGAGTAAAGTATTCGGCAAGAGTATCAAGTCTCGTACGGATAAGGCAAGTAAGATTTTTGGAATCGGATATCGGATTATGGTACAACGCATAGCAAGAGGAAAGAGTAATGAGTTTGAGGAGAGAGGTCACTGGGTGAGCGCCATCACAATCGAGTTGCAGGATGTTTGGCCTTTTCCCTCAACCTATGTACAGCATTGCGATCGTCTCTACACGGAGTCGCCCCGCGTCGTTACCAAGACAAAATGATGGCAATCTTTGCATACTGATATCAGGTAGAAACTGCGATATCTTCCTTGTCGTACCCCAACAGCCCATCATGACTGTTGTTCTATTGTTTTGGGCAAACATTGTTACTGGATCCTACCTTTGTGACTCGTCGAAACATTTCCGCCTAGGACGAAGAACGGTGACAGACAGCGAAGCCGTCTGTTTTATACTTCCAGCTCACTATCACGGCGTCTTTGAGTGCCATCTCATTAGCACTCTCTAGCAGCCGTGACGGCTCTGAATGGCAACCACCAACATGACGAAAGGCCCGAAAGGGATGATCAACTTATCTAGGTCACCAGAGCATACAAGCCGTTGGCAGTGGACAAACTTGTGCTGCGACAAGGAAGCCCTCCGCCAGTCGACCGCACAAACAGAGACAGGCAAAGGAAAGCGCATGAAAGGAGAAGAGTGGGGTTGGCGATTCACTCCGAACAAAGAGAGTTTTGGTGGAAACAGCACGAAATGTCCGGTTCAGACTAGTATGATTCTGAGGAATTGGAGCACCGAAGAAACCTAGACAAGGAAAGCCATATGTCGACTGGAAAACCGATATTGAGTTGGACAGGTAGCGGGAAGGCGAAAGGAGGAAACATAATGTAGGGAGCACAAGGTTATAGACGCAAAGGACGACGAGAAGGACCACCATAGCCGTCCAAAGTTCATTTGATCCCCGATTGCCTCTGGTGAACGTTCGACCTTGACTTGAAGACAGATATTCGTAGCGAGCGAGAGAGTACTAAACATCAAGTGGATTCGACGGCGAAACTTCAAGAATGAATTGAAGGGACCAAAGACACACCGATGCTCATCATAAGAGCACAGTGAAAGGCAAAGACGCATCTCCATGCTAAGCGTGGTTGTACACATCAGGAATGACACCAGGAAATCAATCAATCAACGGCCCAAGAGCGTTCTGAAATCAGGTAAAGCCGTCGGTTGCCTCTCCTAGAATGTTCGCCGCCTTTGGATACGAGACCAGAAACTGAAGTACTGATGATCGAACGGAACACAGTCAGCGCCGAGAATAGAAGGAATCAAGTGGCCAAAGACGTACCTCCGCCTAACCCAAGATAATCAGCCATTGTATACGCGTGAGAGATTCCACTATCCAAATTCTAGATTTCAGAAGTAAGAGTCGTGCATCGCGAGAGAGGTTAGGGAAAACAAGAGAGTGGGAAGATTCCCGAAAATTTTCGGTCACCGGTCTAAAGCGAAAAGCTGAGCATACAGACCAACCCAAGGGGCAGTTATTCAGCCTCTTAATAACCAAATTACCTCGTACGTAAATCGCCGATGTCAATCCTCACGCGTTATTGTGACCTAGATAAGATAAATACTCTTTGGTTCGCCGGCGGCAGTTGTTCATCGTATCTAAATACCTACTAATATATGTCGAGCAGGAATACCAAGCTCGCAGCGTGTTTTGGTGTTGTGTAAATCAAATAGACGTTCTTGTCAAGCATCAATGGGGTACAGTCATTTACTGGTCCTTGAGACAAAGTTTTGTAAATGGGACAACACGGATATCCCTGCTATTCTGCGTGCTTCAGGACATCAAGTACACTAAATATATTACTCTAAATTAATTCTGTGCCTCCTAGTGTCAGTGAACAAGTGTCCCATTGTTGTCAACAAAATGTGGGAATTTGGGACAGATTTTGGCATGTGGGAATTTCCCATCAGCACGCCAAAATTGAGTGAGGAACTATTTCACTCTTTGAGACAAAGGTTTCCACGGTATGAGGGCACTAGAGAGGGCCAAGGATCTACTCCTTATTGCCATAAAGGCATGTTGTGTGAGTTATAAGTCTGTGGTGGCAGAATTCCCAACTCTATACCCAAAACATTGCTGAAAATCACAGTTATCATTTTCTTGAATTTTTTCTAGTACTCGAATCATGTCAAAGTTAGCTGTATCAAATTGAGAACATTAAATGTCTGAGGTGGGTGCGTGGGATATATGTTGCAGAAAACCCATCTGTCCCACTGAGTGATTGTGTCCCATTGACTGGTAAATGACTGTAGTGGTAACCTGGGTTGTTGCCATCCGGATATTCTTAAGCACTTTGTGGTCAACCCACCGGGGGTTCAATTCCCTCTTGATGCAGTGTGTGGTCATGACATTCTAATTTTGAATCTGCTCTCTTCCTTGCAGCGGAGATGATCATTTTGCTCGACGACTTTGAGCGACTCTTCCTTGTCACTCTTCTCGAGATCAGGTGTATAAATAACTCGGTCAAAATGTACAAGGCGCCCACCATCCCGTTACGGGTAATCAACACCTGGGATCTCTCGCCTTAAAGTCTACGCAGCATAGGGGCGATACATTTTCTCGAAGCTGAATATGAGATAGACTCTGCAACACTACCTGCTCCCCCCACAAGACTCGACGTCCAGCGTGCTCCACCTCCCATATTCACCCACCAGAGACAGAGAACGAAAACACTGAGAGAATTCATAAACTGGAGTCTGCTAGACCGGTTGATTGTTCAAAAATTTTGGGTGAAATCACTCCACCATTCATCCCGAAGCCAATGCTTTCTTGAGGCACATACTCGATCCCCTTGCACATGACCCGTGTGACCTAGTGATTTGTGATGAACC